TCATGTTCATCTTGTGGTCACTCCCCACTTTGCTGTGGGGGCCTCAATGTGCCTCCCCTCTTCATAGACGTACCTGCAGGAAGCTGGGAGAGCTGCTTTCCACCGCTGCCTGGGGCTGTATTCCTGGCAATGTGCAGTGTGTGCGTGCACACCCATGCATGTCTGTGCCTGATCTCCCCCCACCCCCCTGCATCCTGCTCCTTGAAGGCTGAAACTCTGCCAGCCTGCAAGGGGAAACCTGCCGTTTCCTGCATTTTTCCACAGTGAATGGAAAAACCAGATACCTGCACGATACTGAGAATCTGGGACCAATGCTGTCCTGGAGTCATGCAGCCTGGGACTGGGACTTGATGTTCCCGTTTTGTGACTGTACCACCCAGTTAGGGACAGGTGATAACCCTACCGTCTTCCCAAGGTGGGGGGGAGGTTGGGCCCTTGGGCCCCGACATACTTGGTGCCTATAGGCAGGACTGCAGAAGGAATTTCAGATATGGGCAGGACCGCAAAGAACCTGGATATGTAGGAAACACTATTGCAAATGTGTGCTCCTGATTAAATACAAAGGAATCTGTGTTTACCCTATAAAGTTCTAAATTATAGTATCAAGAAATACTTCCAGCAAGAGGCTGCTTTTTGTAAACCTATGCTTGATGCCTGCCCTTTTCTTGACCACAGCTGCACAAAGTTACAATGGATAAGAAATGGAGTAGACTAACCCAGCATTGGTGTCTCCATTTTAAAAATGATATTGCAGAAGAGGTTTGGAGAAAAGTGGTGAAAATAATCCAAGGCCTGGAAAATGCTGTTCTGAAAAGATGAGGATTGTTTACTGTAGAAAGCAGAAGAGGGAACGGGACACGATGAAAGTCTGAGTTACAGTATTTCAGTTACATTCTTAGTTCTGTTTAGTTTGTACTCAGCACTCCCTTACAAGGAGCATTCTTATATCTTCTAAAGATTCGTAAGTTCTTATATGCAGTTCACTATGACTTTGTATTCCAAGTCATTGGTGATATCTTTTATATGCTGTTAACTGTCACCTAAATCAGCAAAGGAAGAACAGGAACTGCTCTTTTATTTGTATTAAAATGCAAGAACAGGGCTAGAAATGGACATCACTAAATGAAGCATATCGACTGTGCCAGCACAAAAGACTTTGCCCATTGCTGTGCAGCACAAACAGGCAAGACAGTGGGCAACATGTTTTTCTGGGTCTTGAGGAGCCTTGTCTTGCAAACCTTATAAATTCCTGTGCAGGATCAGGCCCCTCAGACTCTGGGATCTCCTGCCTGACTTTTCCCACTTACCAGTATGCTCTCCCAGGATCTCTGGGGCACTTCCTGTTAAGCAGGGTAGGTTGGGCAGGTGCTCCCAGGGCTTAAGGGCCCTGATCCTGCTTGGGAATTCCTAGGTCTCTCAAACCCCCAGAACACCTTCCTGGGGCAGCTGGAGAGTGTGGGCAGCTTTGGGCTGCTGGTGCTCTCCCATCGCAAAGTAAACAGACATTCACTGCTGAAGAGTGGCACAAATTGGTATCACCTTTGTCATGGTATGACGAGCAATGTAGACATCTTCATGGTGGCACAAAGACCAAGCAAACATTTTTAAGGTGGCACAAAATGAACAAAAGTGACAAAAGGCCTTATCTCTTTCCACCCCTAGGGATTGGCTGGTGGAAGTGAAAAAGCTGCAGATTAAAAACAAAATGAATGCAACATTTAACTGCACAATGGAAGTTGACCCAGAAAGTAGAATCCAGGAACTTGGCATGTTTCCAAAAAAGTTGATTACTAATCTGGTTATCAAGACTATCCAGTTACATCTCTTCTAAAGCTTCACCCATGAATAAATTGCATGTTTCAGGGTTTAAGGTGTTCTCTTATACGTCAGGATACTTGGGTAGCTGGGGGAAAGGGAGGAAGAGGCAGGGAGAGTAAGAACTGATTATTCCATGGCTGCATAATGTAGGGTTCTTCTGAAACCTTTGTTTCTGGGCACTGTCAGATGCTGTACTAGATGGAACTCATCTGATCAGTTTCCCGTGTTTCTGAGTAAACGTTGCAATGTTTTGCTGCTGCATAAGAAGCTGGTAGTCAAGGAGACTATAAACAAAAGTGAAAATCTACTGCTTGCACTGTAAGTAATGCGGCAAAATAGTTTAACAATAATGTATTTCACTTTTTACTAATCTATACTCATAAATTTGATCTTGCTGCTAGGGTGACTAGACCTGTTTCTTAATCTGAATTTATCTTTTGAAACATGCAGATAATTTGGTACATTTGCTCAGGAGTAGGGGAAATTTACATAACTGATTACCTTTGAATACAAGCTATAATGAACTGTGCATAACATTTTTAATTTATGAATCTTTATAAGATAAAGGAATACATCTTATAAGAGAAAAAATGTTGAGTGTGAAATAACAAGATATAATGGCCTAATGCCAAACGTACTTTTAGTGGGAGAAGGTAGAGATTACTGACATGAAGAAAATGATTGCAGGGTACCTCCACTAGAGAATAATAAATGAATGTCAGCATTAGTTGGATCCAAAACAATCTGTCCATAAGTCTGTCTTATGAAACTTACCAGCAACACGCAATTTCAGATTTATTTCTAACTTCAATAAATGATTGATACATTTCTTTATACTTATAGCAAACTGCAAGTTTGTCCAGTTGGTCTGGAAGCTTCATCATGGAAGACAGTGTATCTAATACTCTAAATAACCTTGGGGAGCAGACAGGCGAGTTTTATAGCATGGATGAAGCCCAGGGTGCTTCTCTTCAGCAGAATTCACCGACCAAGTACTTGGCTGTGGAGGCAAATGCAGTGTTGTCATCTTTACAGACTATTCCAGAATTTGCAGAAACACTAGAGCTTATTGAATCTGTAAGTCTGGATATGTGTGAACATTTTCTTCTCTTTTTTTCAATAAAGATGTAATGTTTGAATATTAAATGTTGTGAATTACCAATTAAAGTGCTAAGTACATAGAATGCATTTCAATTACATTATATAGTTCTTGTTAAGTATGGTTTCACTTGGATTGAGCCCTTGCTTTGTTAGCTGTCATGCGTTTAAAGCTCTATATAGCTCTCTATTGATCTTTGTCTAAAATTCTAGGATTTTCCCAAGAAGTATAGGAAAAATAATTTATCCAGAATATAATAAACTTTTAAACTATAAGCCCTGATATAAAATGTAAATGTACAACTTGGATTTAAATACCAGACATATTTGGTCATTAGAACCAAGAAAACAATATCAGCTGTATCATACTACTTCTATCCTGACCTGTAATGTATATTAAAAAATATAGGGTGGATGAGGGGATGGGTAGAGAATGAAGTATAAATGAAGGTTTAAAATGTTTTTTGTGTGAAAAGTTATACTAAACAACAGTGTGAATTCTTCCAGTGAATTATGAATGGTTTAAAAATCTTGAGTACCATGTAATCTCAAATTGAGAGAATCTTGCTGACCTGAAATGTTATGAATGCAACTTTAAGGTCCTGAAATTCCTGATTATTTTTTTTTGGGGGGGGGGGGGGGGGGGGGGGGGGG